TGCGGCTCTTTGGCCCCTTGAGTGTGGCTCTTCCTAAGCCTTAGGAGTACCCTAATTAAGTTAATAACAATGTACCTACCTACCTATATAGTTTAAGTTTAAAAAATTTGGCTCTCAAAAGAAATTTCAATCGTTGTACTGTTGATATTTGACTCTGTTGACTAATGAGTTTGCCGACCACTGCCCTAGCCCAATGTGAATGAAGTATGGTAAACAGGAGGGCTTCAGGTAGAGACCTGTTAGCTAGATAGCACTATGCCCCATTGTCTGCCACATATGCTCCTCTCTTCCTCAACTATCTGTAAATCGCCCTTTCTCCCTTCTGCAATCGAATACCCCACCCCGTTCCTCACTTTCTCCTTTGTCTGAAGTGTCATATATACCCAATGCTGCCTCACTGTCTTTGAAATTTTCAGGCCTAGGTGAATTCCCATGCGTATGTTTTAAAACTTTGACTTTCTCCTGAAAACATCCTAAGCAGACAAAAGTAGTAACTTAACAGTCCTCTACGTGCAGCTATTTTCAAACATGGGAAACTTCTCATCTCTGAGTAAAAATAGAGCCAAAATGCTCAACAGTAGGGCAAGAGTCTGGGAGGCTGAGAAAACTGCCAAGAACAGCCGTTCTGTAAATAAAGCTCTATGTGCTAGAGTAGGACAAGGAATCTCCCGGAAAGCAATTCCTAGCAGACTGTTCTTGAGCACACTGGCATCTCTGCTCTCATGGAGGGGGAACCAAGGTTGCTTTAACTTGGGCATCCTTGCCACGTTGGGAGGGCTCTATCACATCAAACCTCGATGCTTCCTCCAATCCTGACCTGACTCCTTTTCTGCTGTGACTCCTGAAGGTTGCTCAGTACAGCAGCCCCACCCCCTTGTTGGAAAGAACTCCCACCTTCCACAGGAGGAGGTCCACCTCTGGCTCAGTCCTGCTTCAAGGCCTCAGCCAGGTGGTCTTTTCCCCAACCTGTCCCTCCAGGTCCAAGGGGAGAGTGACTATGGGTCCTTGGGTTCTGGTCCAGATTCTACCATGAGAGATATGTGCCAGCTGGGCCCCCACCCCCAACCAAGGCACCTCTGAAGCAAACACATCCTGCAAAGACGGAGGTACCCTGTGAGCATGGCTGTGCCCTTACCCTGGAGTTACAGCAGGCTCTTGCCCACCCTAACCCCCACATGCTGAGAGGCATTCAGCTCTTCTGTGCCCTCCTTAAGGCCACAGATATTTCAAATGACAGCACTAACCCCAATGTGAGAAAGTGACCAGTCAGGAGTGGTTGAGCATGGGATGCAGAGAATAATGAAGGAACAGGACAAGCAATCAACATCAGAGAAGGAAAACCAGGGACAGAACTAAGACAGGGGCAGCAATAACGATGATGAAAAAAGCCACAGCTACCATTCATTGAGCTCTGACGACACGCCAGGCTCTAAGCACTTTCCATGCATGAACTCATTTAACTATTATACAGTTTAAATGTATAAATGTAGTTAAGTCTCTTAACTACGAAGAGGAAGATAGTATCTTACAGTGAAGCCCAGTGAACAAGGTGTAAAGTGCCAGGAGTGGGACATAGTGGCATCACGAAGCCCTGACAGGCTGCACTGAGGCCACAACATCACGTCTGTGGCATTCTTGCCAAACGTACATAACCTCGTTCTAACTGTGAGGAACACATCAGACAAGCCCACCACTCTTCAAAAGTACGCAAGTCAAGAGAGGCAAGGAAAGGTTGAGAAACTACAACAGATTGGAGGAGACCAAGGAAAAATAACTAAATGCTACGTGGGACCTTGTACAGGATCCTGAAACAGAAAATAGACATTAGTGATGGTAAAGTTCCAATAAGATCTTGGTGTAGGTAACAGAATTATAGCAACGTTGATTTCCTGTTGTTGGTTGGTCCAATGTTTATTTTGAACATTGTAATATGGTTCTGTAAAATGCTGACATTAGGAAAGTTAGGTGGAAGTATACGGGTACTCTCTGTCTTATATTTGTTCTGTAAGTCGAAAATTTTAAAATTTCAAATGATTTTAAAATATATTTTGTAAGTGCAAGATTCTCCAAACAAACCAAGCCCATCTCAGAAGAGTTACTTATTGGGTTGGTCTACCAGCAATGAAACATGTCCAGATTTGGGATAAAGCAGAAAATAGTTTCAACTGTCGGCCATATTGCTAAAGGTCTGCCAGAGCTGGGGTTTTTGCGCTAACACTGCCCTTACTGAGCAGGTCCTCAGTTGCAGGGAGGGTGCTCGCACTCATTTCAATAAGCAGCTCCGCAACGTCTGGAGGTGTGGCTGACAAGACAGGCTCCCTCCTACAATGTAATGCTCCTCCCCAGCCTCCGGGTTCTCTGGGATTATTCTGCATCTTCCGTTTGTCTTGTTCTTCAATCCAGCAGGACCTGATGACTGAGATAGCTCTTAATTTTCATGACAATGTGTCACAACTCCTCCTGCTACATTCCTTCCATAGTGACTCACGTGGGGAGGCTTTTGCAACCAAATAAAGGCATTTCCCACCAACATGAAGCCCTTCAACTTTATCCCTCAATGTCCACCACTCATTTCTCATATCCCACAAGAGGAAAAAAATAATTGCTATTTTGCCCACATTTGATTATTTTGTTTTTCTCTCTGTGTGCGTTTCTGAGTTTCTCCCATCTCACCAGCCAGGAGGACAGCAGCAGATGAGAGGGTACAGAATCTGCAGCTCTGGACTCCTGGTTGACTGCAGCACCCACCACCGGGAGGGAGGAGGGCGTATGTTCCTCTTCAAATGTTCCAACAAGCAGAACAGGCAGGACATGTGCCTTGTTAGTGTGCAGGGCCTTGGCATCTGTCGTCTGATTCCTGGGTGTCTGCATGGTTAGGTTTCCTGCTAGGCCTCTGCAAGCCTGCCCCACAGCTGTCTTTGTCCTGTTCCAACAAAGTTGCTTTCATTTTCTTCTCTCCACCCCACACACTGGAAAATAAATTACCCAGTGATTAGTTAACACCTCCTGACCGCACATTTTGCAATGAAGTAGGATAAGAAGGAAAAAAAGCCCTTCTAAGCCCAATGCCTGGGACCCTTAAACAAGAGGATGAAGAGCCCAGAGGGACATTGATTCAAAGGTGTGAGTTGGTCTTTTCTCTATAGGGAGACCTCGGGTAGGGCCAGACTGAGGCTGGGAGTGCCTGGCCACTCCCCTCCCACCCTCACCCGGGAATATTTTGTCAGCTGCAGGGGTGCTGCCTGGGCAGGGTTGGGTGTCTGTAAATGAGACCCACAGCCCCAAGGCCACCTCCCTGGCTACTAAGCTCTGCACAGTGGGCAGCGTGAAGGACAGTGATGAACAGGAAAAGAATGTTAGTTGAAGACAAGCTAGTCAGAGGATGGTAGGTTTCCAGGGCAATGAGTGAGCCCTTGCTAACACTTAGGATGGAAGTTCATGTGGCTTACTGCTTGAGAATGAAAGCGCATCCCCTTGATGCTGGGCAGCGGTCAGGAAGCTACAGGCACCTTTGTTCCACCACCGGGCCTTGACTTATTGGTGTATTTTTGTGTCTATATACACACTAATGCTGTATCTCAGGTATTCTAAGATATAACCTTTCACATTTTAATATCTCTGCAATTGACACACATCATACAATTGATATAAATCATACTGAATTGGAAACTTTTTAGTGGTATATAAAAAGTATCACATCTTAAAATTAATAAATATGATCATTTACATGCAATATGACAAAATTTTTTGGGATCCCTAAAGACAAAAGTGCCTCATTCATGGCCTCTATCTTTCAAGATATGATATCATGGCCAAAAAAAAAAAACAAACCCAACATTCCTAATATTTTACTTTGAGACCTGAATGAATCAGGATAATAGTTTAATTTTTCAGATTTATTGTTAATGCTAATAAAGTTCATCAAGATTATTTGGCAGATGTTCCTAGCATTTAGAGGATAAAATCAATATAGAATAAACATTAAAGAAAAACTTAATTTATCCAATAACCTATACAGCCCAGCACATGAAGTATCTGTTTTCTCATTCTAAATCAGAATTTTTACTTCACTCCACATTTTTCATAAGAAGGTAAATCACAGCCCTGGCTGGTTTGGCTCAGTGGTTAGAGCGTCAGCCTGCGGACTGAGGGGTCCCGGGTTCGATTCCGGCCAGGGGCATGTACCTTGGTTGCGGGCACATCCCCAGTGGGAGGTGTGCAGGAGGCAGCTGATCGATGTTTCTCTCTCATTGATGTTTCTAACTCTCTGTCCCTCTCCCTTCCTCTCTGTGGAGAATCAATAAAATATTTTTTAAAAAGAAAGAAAGAAAAAAAAAGGTAGGAGACACCCAAGATGGCGGCATAGGTAAACACCAGAGTTTGCTGCCTCGAACAACCACTTCAAAAATACAACTAAAAGACGGAACGGACATCACCCAGAACCACAGGAAGGCTGGCTGAGTGGAAATTCTACAACTAGAAGGAAAGAGAAAAGCATACCCAGACTCAGAGGAGGCGC